CGAACGCAGTTTTGAAATCTCCGTAAAAAACATCAAGCTGCATTTTCTTGCGAAATGACTCGTGTGCCAATATCGACAGGTTCAGTAGATTTGTAGTGACGGAACGCTTAGTTCTGAATCCATGTTGTGAATTAGATAATTGTGGGTCGATGATGGCGCTTAGCTGGTGTTTAATTGCTATTTCGAAGATTTTCAATATGACTGAACTGATTGCTATGACCCGATAGTTTGTAACATCATCTTTGTCGCCTTTTTTGAAGACAGGCACAACTCGTGACAGTTTGAGCAAGTACGGTATAGTACCAGCATCAAATGTTTTCTGGAACAAAAGCCAAATAGGCCATACAATGGCGTCAACACATTGTTTTATGACGAACGGTGATATATCATCAGGTCCAGCTCCACTATGCCATTTTAACGAGTTAATGGCTAGTTCGATGCTTTCCAATGACACGTTGATTTCATTTGCATCATCACTCTCACGAAAAATGTCGTCGAAATTCCACGATTGATCATCAGCTACGTAAATTGACTCGAAGTAGTTTGCGAACAACTGGACAATGTCGTCTGGCGAATCAGCGGTGACATTATTGTGGTGCATCTGATTTGGATAAGTTGCTTGTTTGTTGCCAATTTTCGCAAACTTCCAAAACGCTGCTGGATTCGATTTGATGTTGTTTTGAATGCCCATGATGTACTCATTGTGTAGCCTATCGTTCAACACGTTGAATTCGTGACACGCTTTGACATATTCATCTGTTTGGACTCCAGATGGCTTTCGTTTAAATGACTTATCACGTTGATTTTTCTTGTGTTGAAGCTCACGACTCCACCATTTCGGCTTGTTCGGGTAATTGGTGACTGATACCTTTGGTACATTGTTCTCAGTGAGTGTTGAAATAGTTCGATGAAAGAAATCAAACGCAGAATGAACATCGCGTATGCCAAACTCATGTTGAAAATTAATACTCTCGATTTGTTGACAAAGTCGTTGATAATTTCCACGTGAGTATTTGAAAACCAATTTAGGTTCTGAGCGAAGCGTTGAACTTATTTTCGAATATTCGAATTCGATTTCATATGGTTTATGAAATACGTCTTGTTGGTTCGCATCGACAAGTGTGTGCTGGTCAACGCTCAATTTGACATCACTCGAATTATTTACAAATAGCAAATCCAAGACATTCGATGCTACATTTTCAATACTTGATATTTGGTAAAGTGGGAGTTCCAACATTTTGTTCAAAAATGTGTTTGCATTTTTTAAGTAGATCGATCTCGTTTCCATCGGTATGCACGGTACAAAACAGGTTTCAGTCTCATCGGGAACCCATTGTATATTTTTCAAGTTGAAATCACCCAAAACAATTACTTGATGGGACGCGTAGCGAGTCATAAGCGATTTTATGTTATCAAAATGCTTGTTGGCAATTTCAATTTCGAATAGTTTCATGTAGCAAACGTAAAGTAAAATTGGCGTTGGTTTCAAAATGATTTCGAAAGCTACTGCTTCACAATCTGGATCATCCTGCAAACCAATTCGCCGACTAAACAATGTTGAATGTACCAAGACAGCAACCCCTCCTGCTCTTCTGCTTCTCATTTGCTCAGTGTCACTTGATCTGTCGCAGCGATAAACGTTGAAGTTACTTGGAAAGTAGACGCTGGATGATTGAGTTGATGTGAGCCAGGTCTCAGTGAGGCAAATGACTTTGTAGAGCGATAGCTCCACCTTCATACAGAAG